CTGAAGATGCAGACCGGCCACAGGGGGTACTGCAGGCTTCCTGCCACCTGGAGGTCTCATGCGCTCCTCATCTTCCTCCTGCACCTGAGGAGGAAGGGTCTCCTTTGCTTGTGCGCCCCATTCCTGTTCCTGCCTGTGGGGTGGTATATTCTCTCTCTGTCCCTCTCTCTGGGCATTTTCCCCTTGGCCTAGAAATCTCCTCGAGTTTCTGCAACTTAGATGATGCCTCCCTCAGCTCGCCTGCCCTGGGAGTAACCGTCCACTGTCCTTCCTCCCTTTCATCACAGATTTCCCCAAAGAGAGTGTTCCTGCCCAACAGCCGGCGCTCATGCTCACTCCATGCCATCATCAGCGACGCTGCTGTCTCCAGGATCACGGCTCCTCGTGCCCAGACCCTCCCCTATATCTCCTGGGCCCCATGGTCCCTGCCCCCCCCTGAGCTCGTGAACACCTGCCTTCCTTGCAGTCCAAGACTACAGCCTCCAGCTCCTCTCCTCCCTCTCTGACGTCCCTTGGTCTTCTTCCCTCCCATCTAACATGCTCCCCACAGTGGGACCCGAGCCTCCTCCAGAGAGAGTCACAGTTGATGGCCCACTGGCTGAATCTCACCTGTATACGTTTCTTTTAATATATATTGGGGCCGAGTTGGAAGTTAGGTGAATTTTACATAAAAATGCAGACATCCAGCTGCTGTCACAGGTGTTGTGGGGCTGGCATTCGACAGGGCTGGAGCACAGAAGCCATGTCCCCAGGTAGCTCTCCAGCTCTCTGCACCCACCCGGTCCCCAACCTCACAGGAGTCTGCCCATCTGCTGGCAGGCAGCTGGCTGCAGGGCAGGCAGCATGCTGGCAAATTCCTCCCCTGATGATGTGATCTTAGCTGCGTTGGGGGTGCCATCTGTTACGGCCAAGAGGAATACTGTCACATCCACACCTCGAAATCCACCGATTTCTAACTGCCTCTAGCCCCAAGCCCTCCTCGCAGCTCTCCTCTGGGCTCCGCTTTCTGGCCAAGCACCCCCAGGCTGGGAACGGTGGCCGAGACTTGGGAGCCCCTCTGAACGTGCTGACGGGTCGGTGCTGCGAGCTCGTAGGCGCTTGCGTGTAGCTGGCTCACCTTTGGTTTCTAAGGGGTTTGCCCAGTGTTAGCGGCTGGAATGCGATTCTGAGTCACCGACTGCGTCTGAATCCAGTTAAGATGGGTGGATGTCCGAGAAAAGATGGTCTATACCCACGTGCTGCTTCTTCTCTCATCCCTCTGCAGACAGCGTAATCCGCGAAAAGAACGTTCGGGCTCCAGGGTTAGAACGTCTTGGGTCCAAATCCCACCTTTGCCTGTTACCTGTGCCTACATGACCTTGGGCAAGTCACTGAACCTCTGCTCATGCATTCAATGTGACAGATCAGACGTGCTCGGGGGTTTGGGATAGAGTAGACAGTACATCGTGGGGACGTCCTTTGTGTGTGGTCTAACGCATCCCCTGCCATGGCAGTGCTGTGAGGAACATTTCATGTGGCGCATTTTTAAAAAGCTTCAATCCTATTGCAGCTGGGGCTACCTTCAATCCTATTGCAGCTGGGGCTACCCAGAGGGACCCGTGCCAGAAGCAAACGCTTTTCCTGCTGCTTCTCCTTCACCCAGGAAAGCGTGAGCAAATGCTGGTATCTGGAGTCAGATTCTTGGCTCCTAGGAGATACCTGACTTGTGGGCGGATCTCACACACCCACAATAACTAACTTTCAGAGGGGGATTAAGTCCAGACGAAGCTTTTATTCGGTCTTCTCGAGGGCTCTCACTGACCCCAGAGAATTCTTTCTATGTCGAAGCAAAGAGAAGCCTTCGTGTCGGCTTCAGGAATCATCTCCTGGTTAGGGCCCTTCCGTGGGTGTCCATCTCGAACTCCAAAACCCCATCTGTTGGTGACATTTCCTCCTCAGCCTGTCTTCGGAGGTTAAGGAGATGCTACAGTATTAATCGATTTCAAGGTTTTTTAACACACAGCCATAAATATTTAAGCCTTCGTTTTGCCTATTACGGAAAATGCCATCTAAGATAATTATTTTGCCTTCGCCTGACAGGAGCATTTACGTAGAAGACAGGATTATTTTGACCTTTGAGCAAATTCTGAAACCTTGAACCTGTTCGGTCTTCCTCTATATTGCGAGCATTCCTGCGGCCACATACGCTAAATTCCTGAACACTGATGAGGAAAAATGCCAGCAAAAGGTGAAACAACCTAAAATGATTTTTGATTGATTTCCCAAAGCAGTGTAGCTTATATTTTCAGTGAAAGTCAACTGAAATCTAAACATAGATTTGGGTTCCTGCTTGTTTGTATGAATGTCACTTCTCATACACTACAAGCACTTGGAGGGCCGGGACCCTGTCTGATGTACTTTGTGTCCCTGGCGGCACCACGCTTGGCACAGTGGGTGCACAGAACATGGCCCGCACGCGGGAACGGCTCCGGTTTCAAGCAGGTTAGCACAGGGAATGGGGCAAAGGTCGGGGGATAACCCGAGCATGGGGCTGAAGCCTAATTCTGGCAATTCTCAGTAACGTGGCCTCGGACACAGTCCAAGTCACCTCCTCTGAAACATGGGCCCCATGTCACCTCCCCTGCGGGGCTTGTTACGGGGATTAAATGAGGGAAAGTTTATGTGGTGCCTGGCGCACAGCGGACAATAAACGGCGTTCGCTGCCTTTATGATGGCTCGTACGGTGGATAGAAGGAGAGAAATGAAGGCTTCAGAGGCAAAGGTATTTAGAATGACAGCACCTTATTCCCTGTGTATAAAGAGGCCCAACATTACCGAGATATGCTAGAAGTATGTTCTAGCATACTATGTTCTAGCATACCAGGGGCATCTGGTGGAGGAAGGGGGACATTATCTGAAATAGAATGTTGTCATAATGAATATGATAGACTAAGTCCCTTTTCCCCCAAAGATGCCAACCTTAATTCCTGGCACCTGTGAATATATTAGCTTGACGCAGCAAAAAGGACTGTGTAGACGTGAGTGAGCTAAGGATCTTGACATGGGGAGATGATCGTAGATACCTTGCTGGGCCCAAAATAACCCCAAAGATCCTCGTGAACAAAGAGGGAGGCTGGAGGGCAGGAGTCGCAGAAGACAGAGACTGGAAGATGTTACACTGCTCAGAGGATAGAAGGTGGCACTGTGATGCCAGGTGGCCTCCAGAAGTTGGAAAAGTCAAGGAAACACGTTCTCCCCTACAGCTTCCAGAAGGAGCCAGCCCTGCCCACTATTTGACTTTAACTCAGTAAGACTGATTTTGGACTTGTGACCTCTGGAACCGTAAGATAAGTTTGTGTTATTTTAAGCTGCTAAGTTTGCGGCTATTTGTTACAGCAGCAATAGGACACTCATACCATGAGTCGCACTGAACAACGACAACAAAAAGACACAAATAGATATACTTTCATTACATGGACAATTTCATCTCTGTCGGACACTGTGTTACTAGACAGCAGAGGTGTGACTGAACACAAGAAGCTCTTTGTTGGATCAGCAGAGACCTGGTCTTAATGGAGCCAAAGCTCAATGCCACCTTTATTCCTAAAAATGCTGCCATTCCGTCACTAAACTTTCATGGCGTCTGCTGGGCTGTCACATGGAGCCTGCACAGCTCGTAATTACAGCCTGCTTACTACCTGCCAGCAGTAAAAGGCTTCAGAATAAATACTGCACCAAGAGGTTGCTTTTTTTACCGTACCATCTCCTTATTCTTCATGTTTGAAAAATATGACTACTTAAGTTCATGCTATGTGTGGAGGTACTAACATTAGTTCCTTGGGGGGAAAAATCCCAATAAGTTATGTATCAAGACAACATGTCACCTTTGGCCAGGTAATTCAGAATTCAAATTTCTAAGTGAAGTCTATGTTTCCACGCTGCCTAGGAATACAACAACTGAAAAAGGCCTTAACAAAGGAATAAAAATCAGCTTTCCTTTTGGAATAATGATTACTATCGAGGGTCTACTAGGTGCAAAACGTTGTATTAAGCACTTCTACAAAGAGGATATTATTATCCCTAACTTGCCACTGAAGATTGAGGGTTCAGAGAGGTTAAGGAACTTGCCTGAGTTCCCACAGCCTGTAAAAAAAAAGAGTTAGGATTGGAGCTCACATGGGTCTGACTTTTGAGCTTGTGTCTTTTCCACTGTACCTACTGCCTCTGAGATAAATGCATGGGGCACTATGTTGGATAAATGTGGGATAAGCTGCCCACAGCTAATATGGGGGCTCTAGGAAGAGCTTAGGCTGGCCCAGCTTTCCATCCACTGCTTTCCGCCATGCTGGAGTTCAGCTGGGACAAGACTGTTATCTCCACAGGGCTGTGTGTGGATAGATAGTTGGCTATACAATGACCCAGGGTTATGACCCATTCTATCATTGGCGTGTAGGATGCTTCATAAAACAGGAAAAGAATTCCTCAGTAAGTGTTATAACAAAGATAGCATAGTAGGGCCACTGCTATAAAGACACAAATCTTGGAACCATTTTGCTTATAACCACATGGATACACTTTTCCTAGATTAGACATCACAAACAATTAAGTCTAGAACAATGATCACTCTGATGTTGCTAAAAAGCTATCACTGCAACCCCCTCCTAACCCAGCTGTCCCAGGCAGAATATTTTCACAAACATCTCCTTCCACCCACCAGTGTTTCTTAGATTATTTTGACCCCACCCATGTGAGAAATATATTTTACCACGCAAATGCAGCTGGCTCACACGGACACGTAACAAAACCAACAGTTCCGTCAAACAAGACATAGCCTTGCTATGTGCAATGAGCTCTCCTATTTTTCTATTTTAGTCTATTTTGTCTAGTTTAGTCCATTTTGTGGACACGACCCACACATTGACTTAGTGATTCCTTAATGACCCTACACCCCATGAGGGGGCTGTTTTTACTGTTTGAAAGTCCTGGTCTAGAAAACCGGCGAGGAGAACCGGCGTCCCTACCTCCGGGGCGATGTAATCTGGAGTCCCACAGAAGGTCCTGGTCGTGACTCCATTCATCATGTGTTCCTTGCACATCCCAAAGTCAGCAATTTTGATATGTCCTTCTGAATCCAACATGACATTATCTAACTTCAGATCCCTGCAAGGAAGCAGGTTAACATCAGAGTCCTTCCGGACAACATAACGTGGTTTGCTCTGGAGCTGGTGAAACAGGACGATATTTGAATAGCTGTCACCTCAATGGCATATTAACTGTAAATCTCTGGAGAGCACGGACCAGGAATTATTGTTTTTGTATTTCCAGAGCCTAATAGCATACCTGGGTTATGGTAGGTGCTTAGATGCAGACTGAATGAATGGCTAAATGGCTGAACTAGCGATCCCCATCTCGGCTGTGCCTGTGAGCCCGGAGATTCCAATTTAGCAGGTTTGGGGAGATCTCAGCCATTCGATTTATTAATACTCCACATGGCGGGGGGGTGGGCCTGACACACCATAGGGTTTCCAAAATCAAGGGTTTAGAACCATCTCATTGGGTCACACATGTCCCTTCCATTCTGCCTTGTGTCACATGTCCGTTTAATTACTCTTCAGTTAACACTGGAAGACATTCTTCTTTCTTTGGCACCAGATTTTCACTGCAGCCAACAGCAGGAAGAATTAAATCAATAGTTTTTTTCCTCGCCTCTCCCCAGTTCCCTACGTTCTCTCGCTGAGCACCTCCAACAGAAATTCAGTTTCCACTGCTCCCTGACCTCCATCTCAAATAAAAGGCAGAGGAAGGAGCTGTCAGTGGAGAGAAAAACATGTTTTCTTGTGGAAAGCAGAAACGAGATACAAAATCTTTGAGGAGTGGAAATCAGAAGGTGCCTCTGATTTGTCTAGAGGCTGCAGAGAGGCGGGTCCCAGCAGGCCTCTGTGACCCGGGCGGGGGGCGGGAGGAGGGTACCAACTCCACATCTTAAGTTACCATCACAGAATGACATGCCCACAGAGGCCCAGCAAACCTTTCAATTGTGCCGCTGGTAGAAGAGCTTCGATACACACCTATAAATTATTCCTCTTTTATGGAGAAAGAACAATCCAATGGAAATCTCTGCCGCATAGAATCTGCAAAAGAAAATGTGCTTCAGGTTTCTCGCTTGCTTCTTTGGACTCCTGGATACTTTCACCCTCAAGTTCAGGCATCAAAAAGATAAAAGAACGTAAGACCCGGAGGCTTTCAGAGGTCGGCGTCAGCCTGCACCTGCTCTTCCAACCCTTGGCCCTTCCCTCTGCCGCTTCATCATCCAACTCACCCGAGAGTGACACGGCTAATAAAGCCAGTGAGACAGTTTATTTTTCTTGTCTGAAGAAGGTGAATAGGTAATTGACTGCCAACAAAGTCATTTCTAATACAATCATTTACAGAGTGGATGCCTGTTAGACTATTCTATGCCAGGAATACCACAGAGAAAACTTCCATTTTCCTATTCATGGATGGAACACATTGGGGTTTTTTTTTTTTTTTTTTTTGAGACAGAGCCTCACTGTGTTGCCTGGGCTAGAGTGCCGTGGCGTCAGCCTAGCTCACAGCAACCTCAAACTCCTGGGCTCAAGCGATCCTCCTGCCTCAGCCTCCCAAGTAGCTGGGACTACAGGCATGCGCCACCATGCCCGGCTAATTTTTTCTATATATTTTTAGTTGTCCAATTAATTTCTTTCTAATTTTAGTAGAGATGGGGTCTCGCTCTTGCTCAGGCTGGTTTCGAACTCCTGAGCTCGAACAATCTGCCCGCCTCGGCCTCCCAGAGAGCTAGGACACATTGGGGTTTGAAAATACAAATAATTCCCTGGAAGACAACGTGTAGTGGGTGATGTACTCTTTTGCTAGTTCATTCATCCCTCCAAGTGCTGGAATAACTAAGACACACACCGTGATTCATACCTGAGTTTACCCTTGTAAACAATTCATGACAAAAAGCAGTTACCACCATCACTTCGAAAGTCTTAATAGGTTCACATCTGAAACTCAGATTAAATGCAGAAGGATATTTAAAAATCCGCACAGCATTTAGCAGTCTTTGAAGTCTTAGAAGCCACAAGACTGTATCTGTGCAAATATCACACCCAGGAGGCTTAAAATAAGTGCACACGTTTACATGAGCAGAGAAATAAACTCTCTAATGATCAGGACCAACTCTGAACGGGAGGCCGCCTCTGCAGGCCAGCGGGAGAGGACGGGATGCGGGTGGGGGAGAGAAGGGGTGGGATTATAGGTGAGTTGTGCATTATTTTTCATGCTTTTCCGTATTTTTTTTAAAAAAAACAAAACCTTTTCTGCAACACAAAAACAATGAAAGGGTCTTAGATGAGACGGCTTTATATTTGGCACCTATTTCGCTATTTGCTCTTTGCAGCTCTGTGCAATGGCTTTATTTTACAATCCCAGTATTTCAATGCTTTATAACTACAACGTTAGACAGGGGATAGGGAAGGCATTTTTTTAAAACTAGAAAAGTAAATATAAAAGCAGAAAAAGCTCCCTGCCCATTTTTAAAGCTTGCTACCAAAGAATTCCCTATTCTGCCTTTAGTTAATCTCCCCTAGGGCAGATAATCCCCACACAGGCCAAAAATCCTTCTGATTTATCTTTTAGATTGAACATTAGCCAGAATCTTGTTAACGTTCGCTAACTTGATTCAGAAGGGTGCATGCCCACTGCGTATCCTCACATTTAGGGAAATAAGGAAAGCTTGCTTCTGTCGAGTTTCCTGAGACTTCCTGGCCCCTGAGAAAGGGGATGACATTTCAGGCATCAAAGTCCCCCCACCCCTCGCCCACCATGGACGAATCCCCCATCTTCACCCGGAGTTCACATCTCCCTCCCATGCTGGGGACTCCTGCGTCCCTGCATCCAAGGCACATTCCGATGAAATGCTCCAAACTGAGCTCACGGTTCTCCCCCTAAACCACCTCCTCCTTGGTGGCCGTGCCCAGCCAAACCTAAAGCGGGGCCTCAGGTGAAGAGATTTCTCTCTGCTCACCCGCCAGTCTCCAAGACCTCCAGGATGTTTTTCAAGGACACTTACTCCTCTGTGGCTCCAAGGTCAAGCCCTGACTCCAGCTCTACTCCTGCTCCCCCATAAAGGCTCTCACCGCCCTGCATTCCCACCCCTCCTTCCTTCTTCCCTTGGCCAGAGGGCTCTGTGAAAGCTTAGTCTGCTGGTGGCAAGTCCCACCGAAGCCCCTTCCCTCTTCCCTCCACCCCAGCCAGGCTCCTCCACCAGCCTCTTTACCCAGAGCCCCTGCCCAGGCCCCCACGATCTTGTACCACCTCCTGCACGCACCGAGCTGGAGGCCACTCCCCGGGTTTGCATCTTTTCAAATCTCTTCTTAGAAGGTTCTTCTCCCACCTCCGGCTTGGGCATTCCCTGAGGATATGCTTCCCTGACTCCCTGACTTTTGGGGGCTTGCACGGTATCCTGCGCATGCCTCTGAAGTTACACCAAGGCATTGTAATTATTAGGTGACTTCCAACTCCAGGTTACAGCGTGAGCTCCCCCAGGGCAGGAAGCACATCGTTCCTTTCACTCCCCCAGAGGCCAATGCATAGAGGGTGTGCAACAACCTTCTCTTCAATGGATAAGCTGACTCCACCAATGAGGTTGGAACTGGGTGAGGAGGGGATACACCAGCATCTCTGATCTATTGGAAATAGAATAAACCACTCCCTAAGAAACATCTAGACGGATCCTGCCAGTACATCTGCCCCTTTGGGAGGTTATAGCACCCAACTCCAAGCTGGGCAGAGTCCCACTGCCACATCTCACCCAGCAGAAGTTCCCAGCTGGGAGTACTGGGTTGCCTAAATTAAGGGACTTTAAAAAAAAAATACTCACACTGCTTGTGGCTCCTTAAACTTTCCTACTTGCTGAATGTGGTACATGAGGTCCCCGCCATTGACGTACTCCATGACGAAGTACAGCCGATCCTGCGGACCAAGGTTCAACACGTCAGTGGGGCTCCTCCCCGCCAAGCCGCCGCCTTCGCTCTCTCCGGGCTGCGTTTTGCTTTCTCATTAGCAAAATGTGGGCCGCACGGGCAGATCTGCTCGGCTTGGAGCTCTTCAAAATTTTTTTCCCAAGGAAAGAGTACGTAATAAACCCTACTGCGTGACGGCCTTGGGAAGTACAAAGTCATCACACAACTCTGAAATAACGGCTCTCTGTCAACATGTCTGCCCCTTCTGGTTATGCAGAGTAATGGCCTCGAACATTCTTCTCGATTTTCCTACGAACATTTCTAAGCTAGGGACAGTGTGAAGAGTCCACATTAGCCAATTATTTCATTTTAGCCAGTGCTTCTCTGTGGCCCGCGTGTTTAAAGGCTGCTTTGCAGCATCCAGGAGGCGTGCCAAACTAACGTAGCAACGTGTTTAAATGGACGCTCCTGAAAACACATCTCCGGGGTTGGGTTGGGCTTGTAAATTACACACGCTCAGTGATATTTACTGGGCAAGGGAGAGAGAGGACTACAAACGCAGAGCCTAATCAAATGTTCTTTTGCATGCATAATACACCCAAGTGTTATTTCTTTATTTTCTCTGTCACTGGTATGCTGAGTGTTGGCCCCATGAAGGGCGCGTATCATAGATCCAAATAAATCTGCATATTTATGAGGATGCAATGCTGAGACAGATGGGGAGATTGAGGGGTTTAACAGCGAAATAACTAACGGCACAGCACACCAAGGTAGAAGCTGACCTCCGCTCTCGGCTAGAAAACATCATTTCACAGACGTTATTAAACATTAAAGTGTTGCACAGAGAGGGAAAAAAATGATAAAACTGGTGCTAACAGCCAGAAACAGCTCTGGGAACATCAATCTTTAGCTTTCCTGTTACAAACTTTAATTTCATCTTCATGTCTTTGCTTTTTGGCTTTCCAGAGCTTAATAAGGGCAAGCAGAGTTACGGGCTCTGGGCTGGGACTCGGCTCTGTGGTTCTCTTTGCCCAGCGCGCTGCGCTCGTCTCCCCGGTGTGACTGGATTCAGAGACCGGGAAGCTGCCGCCCGCGCTGACGCGCCATGGCTGGTGCCTGCCTCCGCAGCCTCCACGGCACACCCCGGAACTCCGTGAGGCCGCTCTGCCACTTTGAGATTCCAAATTCCAAAACCACTGAGGGTGCCTCCCAAGAGTTTTTAAAGAGAGACATGAAACAGAAAGTCAATTTCTGACTAACACGCAGTTGAAAACAGTAATAATCATAACAGTAGCGGTTATAGCTACCGATTACTGAGTCACGTTTAAAAGGGACAGCCTCGGAGGAGGGGAAAGCCTGTCTTTGGCAATGCCTCACTATGGTGCCAACTAAATGTCTGTATTTCTGGTAGGCCACTCGCAAGCTCCACAAGTGATTCACTAGGGCTTTGGAATTTTCTTTTTTGTCCTCAGTTTAGTTTTGCTGTATGACTGGAGTCAGCACACTGTTTCTGTAAAGAGCCAGACAGTAAATATTTCGGGCTTTGAGTATCTCCTGCGACTACTCGACTCTGCCTTTGTAGCCATGGATGGTAGGTAAATGAATGAGGCTGGTAATGTCCCAAAAAAACTATTTATGGATGCTGAAATTTGAATGTCATCTAGTTTTCAGGTGTCATAAAATATTATTCTTCGGATTTCTTTTTTGCTATCTTTCTTAGAGCTCACGGGCCACAGAGACCAGGCCACACACAGTTTGCCACCCGTGCTGTGCGGCACTGAATAAGAACACTCTTTCACAAAATCAAGTCCCCTAACGTTCCAATGCCATGCCTGGCAGCAGAGCCGGTGGTCTTAAGAAGCTGTGAGCTATTTTATTGTTTTTGTGTCCCCAGGTCTTTGCACATTACCTGGAAGGAAGAAAACCTTTCATGTAACTGTCTGCTGAATTAAATAACACAAAGGCCAAGACTTCAAGCAGAGGACATCACAGAGGCAGAGGGATGAGAGGCTGTCCCCTGTCACCTCTGTTTGGCATCACGTTACACCTTTCTCCAGACCTCTCCCCAGGAACGAGGATGCTGAGACGCCTTGGTTCAGGCTCAGCCCTGAGAGCACGCCGGGTGCTGTGCCGCAGAAACGCCCCCCAGGGTCCTTACCACCGTCTGGAAGCAGGAGTGCAGCTGCGTCAGGAATGGGGGCTTGTCGAGCAAGGCCAGCACTCGCTTTTCCACCATGGTGCACTCCACATCGTCATCCTGAATCACCACGTCCTTCTTCAGGATTTTGATGGCGTACAGTTCTTCTGTTCCCTTCCTGTCAGCAAGCATCACCTGGGAACAGACCAAGAACCGCCTGAACCTTCTGAGCATACGTCTGCTCCTGGGGTGGAGGGAGGGAACCAGGCCCGGCGACGGGTCAGCGATAGTTCATGCAAATTTGTAATGTGCGATATAAAAACGTTAATAAACTTTATGTGCAAATTTTGAAATATTGCACGTCACCACAAATTAAATCCCTCCAGCATTTGCATAACTAGTAGCTGTTAAGATTTGTACGCCGTGTAGGCTATTGACACACGATGGCATTGTTTTGGCTGCTAAAAGGAATGAATACTCAACATTCTATACTGAGATCAGTCTGCAATTATGTACATGTTTCAGGAGCATCTTATAGTGAAATGTGACTGACCTTTATAATCTCACGAGTCAGGAACCCGGATAAAGAAAAAGGCTCAAAATCAGTTCCTGGATCCCACTCGAGATTTGGGGCCACAGAAGCCGAACGGAGGCATCTAGGGGGACTGCCGAAGACCCCACTTCAGAATCTCTTAATGACTACACTTGCTTACTACGTTAGCATCTCATTTTTGGTTGTGAAAATTATTCATTCAAACCACCTTTTAGAGCATCCCTTCTACTCCGAACACCGTGAAGGGGGAACGTACAACGAACCCACGGTAGCTTTTTGGAATACAGTTGTTTTTAATGAAATGAAGTAGGAAACACCCAAGGAAATGTCCACAAACCACCGGGAACATAAAGGGCTGTTCTGGAAACCTCGGCGAGAACAAAACTGATCCAACGTTCTCTGCGAAAGCCCCTCCGCTTCCCAGACAACTGTCTTACCTTCCCAAAACTCCCCTTCCCCAGCACCATGAGGAAATTGAAGTCGGTGAGCTTCACTCTGTCAAGGTTGTTGGAAGGTTGTTTCCTGTCTTCCGAAGGACTGATGACTTTATTCCCAGCAGGGCCAAGCTTGGCTTTCTAAACAACGGGCACAAATGTGAAAAGCATGGGTCATTTTTTCTGGGGAAAGAGTGACAAAAAAGCACAGTGTATCTGAGCTTGATGTTGCCTTGGAGGTGGGAAAAGGGATGGGTGAGAAAACGAACTGAGGGTGAGGAGGTGATATCTGCTCATACATCAGTGGCCACACTCGCCCCGAGGGGAAAGTCTGCCAAGTGGCAGGAGACTGTCCTTCTCAATCAGGACAGCTCTTTCTGCAGTTAACCAAGAATCGGCCTGAGCGTCGGCCAAGGGCAGGTTCACTCTAATTCTGGGATGTAAAACTTAACTTCTTGGGGAAAACAGTGCTTTACGCTGGGACCGGTTAACATAATAAAGGAAATAAATTGTGTACTGATGTTTTTATTTGTAGGTTTTCCAATTTGAAATTAATCTGCAAAAGGAAATTTGTACCCACGCGAAGAGAGAGAAGAATGTCCTCTGGAGAGGAAATGCTTAAATGGCAAGAAGTGGGCATGATTTATTGCTATTTTCAAATGCACATAGGAACAGGGCTTCTTTTTTTTTTTTAAGTCAAAAGAAATGGAGATATCATGAGAATCTAGTTCCACACAAAACACATACTGCTCCTTAAGCCTGAAGAACACCTGGTCAGTGACATATGAGCTACCGAAAGGAGTTTTTATAAACGATATTCATGCCGCACAAAGGCCCTGGAGGGCACCATACTCTCATAACTCTCCCCAGGGAGTCAGAGTTCCATGTCGAAGGCAAAAAATAAGTAAGAGGGCTCAGTGGAAAAGGGAAGGCCATTGAGACCCGACGGGAACGTCTCCGCAGTCAGCAAGGAGCCCCTGGAGAAGCGGGGGGAGGCTGAGCGGGTGGAGAGTTCCACCTCCAGACTCTGCATGTTGAACACCTGCCTGACAGCTGCCGGCAAGACCAGGGTCCTGGGGGCTGGCAGGACCTCCACAGCCCTGAGCCCATGGGCAAAGACCCCGCCTTTGGATGCATTCCTAATCCACGGGTGCAGCCCCCTCCCCAGGGCAGCAGACCTGGCAAGTGTGGCTCTGAGCTCTGGTGCAGTTGCCAGGATCTCACCAAGTCAACAACTTGGCAGCTACGAAGAAGAGGGTAAGGAAGGCACTCGAGGGGCTGTGCTGGGCACCAAAGCATGGGTAAGACTGGATCTCAGCTCTAGGGGAAAACACGGGACTTGCCGTTTTTCTCTTTGCCAGCAGAGAAGGCTTACGAGGCATCCTCCATAGTCCCCCTTTGAGCACCAGCAGCCCTTCACCCCACCGTCACTGGGCGGGCCCCCCACTGTGCCAGGCTCTGTCTGGGAGACTTCGTGGTAGCAGAATGAGCCCCCGTCGGCTGTCTCTGGATTCCCAACACTAACCCAGTGCTCGGCACAGGATGTGCACTTAATGCTTTGGTTAAGCAAATAAAGAAACGAAGTCTGCATGTGCTTATCAGATGCTATGCTGTTGGGTGATACTTTTCGCTGATAAAAATAACTCGTTTGTATAGTGACCAAGTCTCATGGTTTGCATATGTGCTCTGAAAAATTGAGTGGACCTATTTAACATGGGGGAGAAAAGCCCTAACATTTTTGCTTCGAAGTTGAAAGTATTTAACATGCTTGTGCTCTGCCTCTATTGGCAGTGCATGGCGGGAAACACGTGTGAACTTGCCCCGCTGGAAACCCTGCAGGCCCATCAACATACAACATGAACTGCAATGCTACGTAAGCTGGCCTCCCCTTTAGCAGACGATGGAAGGGATTTTCAGACAGACCAGTGAGAAAGAGCCAGGACTCAGCCAACCAGGTTCCCTTGGAGCCCCCCCTAAACTGCAGGACCGGCCCGGTCTCCAAACACCTATGCCAGGAATGACTGCAAGTGGAGAAACCTTCTGGACTATGTCTAAATTTAAAAAAATAATCAGGAAGTCCAAGTCTGAGATGAGAATACTGACTATGCCACCCTGTTCCATATTTCTGATTTAGAAAAAGAAAGAAGTTATCAGAAAGAGGCACAAAGAAAATTTTATTTTCTCAGGAACTTCACAACTTTTCAGATCTGAAGGGATCTGGAAAAACCCAAACACGCCTGACTCATTTACCTGAGATGTCTGAAACAGCTGAAAGGCATGTTCACCTGGATGAAGTTGCTACTCACACCACCAGTGAATGCTTGGCTTCCACCTGCAGTGTGTGGTTCCAGCCGGCTACTCCGTCTCATTTGGCCTTCCTCTTTCACACTCCAGCAACACAGACAGTGGGACTGTCTGATGGGCTGATGCCAACAATGGGACTCCAGGTGGATACAGGGGCTTTGGACACACACTGCCGTCCACTGCCTCCGTTGTGTGCATAGCAACGGCTTTGTGAGTTCTGTGCTATGAACCTAGTCTAGTTAGGCCAAACGGCTGTAAAGACAAAACCACTTTGCATTCGAGTACTCCTGAACTCAACTGCAATATGATCTTGGACTCTGGTCTGAAATCAATCCACAAGGTTTGGGAGGAACATTCCACAAAGGAGATTCCTGATCCCAGGAGGTGAAGCAGGACAGAGGAAGGCACAAGCTTCCTGCCCGGCCTGGGCAGATTCTTTTGAGCCAGAGGCAGACCTGAGTTTCCGTGGCTGGTAGAGCAGGTGGTCGGCTGGGAAGGAGATAGGGCAGCGTGTGGGCCGGAGCAGGCCGGGCTGGCCGCACTGACCACGTTCATGCCAGAGGGCCGGCTTCTCGGTGGCCTGACCCCGAGGATGGCAATGGATTTCTCACCAGCCCAAGCCAGCCCTGAGATCAGAGTGGACCCGGCCTCTCCACGCAGCTGCTCCCATCCAAGAGCGGCATTTTGCTGGCTCCCTACAGAACGCCCTTCCGGAGCCACATCCAGGCTGCCACCTGCAGGCCTTGCTGCCAAAGGCCACAGAGCCACCCCCCGCACTGAGTCTTTACAAATAGCTCTTTTACAGCAGAAAATTCCACGATATCATAACCTCAGTGGTCTGTGCCTGACTTTGAGCAAGTCCCACTCTCAGTCTGGGTCTAACAAATCCTGGGGTTGGAGGCGGCAGCCAGTGGACACCCCACCAGCTGCGTCACTGGGGGCGGGAGGCCTGAGCGGAGGGGGGCCGGAGGACCCACACGGGACTCCTGGGCAGGCTGTGGGCCAGGGCTGGAGACCAGATGCTGTGGACAGACGGCCTTGACCTCCAGTCCCCTTTGTCTTGCTGGTGACCCAGCCCGCCTGGCCGGCCACTTCTGAGGTGCCACTTCCCCCCTCCCTCAGGTCCCAGCTTAACCGCTCTTTCTTCAGTGAACTCCCTCCCCAAAGATGTCCTATTCCTCTCCCTCCTGTTGCCCGAGGCTTTCCCTCACCAGGTCCTGTGGCCAGTAGCGACTGGTGACCTATTTATGGGTGTGTTTATTTGTTTAATGCCTCTTGCAATCACCCCCCTACCGCTAATCTAACAGCAGGTCACACCCAATCTACCTTCAGATTGCACCATCTTGGCTGGCCCTCTGCCTCCACACCCCCACCCCCAGTCTGCCCGCGGGTGGGCTCCTGCCAAGACATCAGTAGGGTCGTGTCCTCTAACGGATGAGGAGGCGGCTTCGCTCCTGCTGTCTCTCCATCTTAAGCCTCCCCACTCCCTCAGCCTCCGTGCCAGCCACGCCAGCCTTCCCCAAGTTCCCAGACGCCTTCTGGAGTGCTCTCCTCCCACCCCCCACACCCCATCCCCTACTTGGCCCCAACTCTGCCCCCTCCCCTTCAGTTTTCTCCCCACGAACTCATCACCACCTGACTGGTGGGGCTCTGAGGGCAGGCCCCTTGCTGTTCTGTCCAGCCTGGAAGTCTAGCTCAAGCGCCCCCCCTCTGTCTTTCTGGAATTCCCAACCTGTGGCAGACACTGTCTGTGCTTTGCCCATATTCCCTGAGCTTCCGGCTCTGCACACCTGGGGCTGTCTGAGGGCTCTGATTCACGAGTCACTGCCCTTCAACCAATCACAACCTTCCGCCAGCTGCAGACTGGAAGCGTGTTCCAGACTCTTCCCCCAGCTCCCGGCAGGACTGCGCTCCAGCGGCCCACAGCAGTGACAAGCGTAGTAACACACCTTGGCGGCTCCCTCTCCTTCCCTGGGTCACATCAAGACTCCCCACCCAGGTCTCCGGGGATCCCTTCCCAAGAAAACTTGTTCTCAGAACCCTGTGGCTGAGTCAGCTTCTGGGAACCTAAATAAACATACGTTCCTTCCTCTTGGATGTATTGCTCTGTCTTCCTCACTGGCCTGTGAGATCCTAGGAGGTAAGGACCAAATCTTACTCAAGTTTGTGTCTTTAGACTAAGCTTTACATCTGGCACATAATTAGAACTCACTGAACTATTTCTCTCATTCATTCGTTCACTCACACATGCGTTCAGTAAGCGCTAGCACTGACAGAATTTGCAGAGGCCAACTTGCAGCCAGAGCTAGTTGGCCAGATGACAAACTTTAATATAAAAAAGCAGTTGATGTTATTAGGCGAACTGTTGCAAGACAACCAGCCCCGGACTCTGCATGCATTTAGATGTTCGTCTATAACCTGGACTCCTCTCCAGCAATCACCGGTCACGCTGGCATAGCCGCAGAGAAGTGCCATGAGGGCATTCCTGCCTTCAGGGAGGTTGGCCACACAGTGACCCTCTCCGGAGGCCACGCTGGACTAGTTAGCTGGGCCAGCAAGGAGCAACCGCGCCCCTGGAAGAGTTTCTCTGGCTGAACAGCCACAGTGAGCCCCTATGCTGACCATTTCTTTCTTTGAGCTTTTTAATGCATTGTTTGGCAACTGGTCTCCCAGCAAGATTAAGAGACTTGCCCTTCCTGGCTCGCTTACTGTTGACATAACTCTAGTTGTCATGAATGTAATTCAGACTTCACCAGGAGTGCAAATAAAATCAATATCTGTCCAGGCATAAAAGCTGAGCCAATAGCTTAACTGCAGAGATTTCAGAAAACCCGAGG